TTCCTCCTCCTCCTCCTCCTCCTCCTCCTCCTCCTCCTCCTCCTCCTCCTCCTCCTCCTCCTCCTCCTCCTCCTCCTTCTCCTCCTCCTCCTCCTCGTCATCTTTCTTCGTTCTTCCTCTTGGTTTATGGCTCGGCACCGCGTGCGAGCCACCAACGCCGCAGCCAACCACCCAGCCAACCAAGCAACCGATACACATCCAATCAACCAAGCCACCGATCAACATCCAATCGACCTCGGATACCAACCAGTGGGCTCGATGGCAGCAAAGGCTGGCCCTTTGGCGTCGTGGGGTGCACGCATGTGTTTCTTCAGGTCGATGGCCGTGTTTCTTCTTGTTCTTTCCCACTCCTTCATCGTGCATCTCGTTGATGACTGACGGCGGTGCTGTCTACACATGATTCTTTGCGTTTTGACCTCTGCGTATTGTGAATGCACAAATGCAGCCGCAACTTCACCTTGAGTTTTTCAGCCGAACAAGCTGATTCCCCATGTTGCTTTTGCGTTCACCCCCTTGTATTCGTTGTCCGCCCGCGCGCTGCGTGCGTGTGTGTGTGTGTGTGTGTGTGTGTGTGTGTGTGTGTGTGTGTGTGTGTGTGTGTGTGTGTGTGTGTGTGTGTATGTGTGTGTGTGTGTGTGTGTTTTGGGGATATCGTTAGGAATCACTTGTTGCAGAGATACTTTGCTTAGTCTTGTGACATACGCTTCTGGTTTGTGTGCGTGCATTTATTCGAACCTGTTCTTGTTTGGTAGCGGCTGTACAAGAGACGCTTGAGCCTGCTTGGTCGCATCACACAATATACACATGACTGCTAGAGTGTGGTGTGGTGTGTGTGTGTGAACTTGAGCTTGTCTAGCTTTGCAAATTGCACAGTCACATGACACAATTTGCAAAGTAAAACACAGCAGCGCGCCAGCCACAACAGCACGCATCCAAGATGGAGGAGCAGGCAGTGAAGTTCAACAAGCGCTTGCAAGAGCTGCTTGCACAGCCCAGCTTGGTGAGTGTGTGAGTGTGTGTGTGAGCGTGTGGACGTGTGTGTGAGCGATTGAATGATGCAGCTGCGTGAGCTTTGCAAACAATGTTGTCCACTGCGTAGTGTTTTGTGTGTGTGTGTGTGTGTGTGTGTGAGAGAGAGAGAGATTGTGCGGTCCTCACACTGCTTGCTTGTCAGGACGCGGCCAGCGCAACAGATGTCATTGACCAGATTGCCAAGCAGCAGTTCAACATGGCGGTGGTGAAGAAGGCCATGCTGGGCAAGTCCGTGTCTCAGGTGATGCGCAAAGGCCCTGCACCACTGAAACAGAAGATCAAGAGCCTCTTGGAGGCGTGGAAGAAGGCGCCTGCTGCCGGCCCTTCCACTTCTGCAGCCAGTCAGTTCTCCATAGTGGCCGTGTGCGTGTCTGTCTTTGTGTGTGTCTGTGTGTGTCTGTGTGTGTCTGTGTCTGTGTCTGTGTGTCTGTGTCATCTGCGTATCTGTGTGTGCGTGTCTCTGTGTGCGTGTCTCTCTCTCTGCGTATCTGTGTGTGTGTCTCTGAGTGTCTATGTGTGTGTGTTGGTGTGAAGTCCGTCTCAACCTCCTTGTCTCTATCTCTTCCTCTATCTCTCACCCGCCTCTTTGTTGTTGCCCGCCAGTCTGTTTGTCCGTGTGCCGGCTTGCTCTTCCCCCCCCCCCACCTCCGTTCGCGACTGTGCACGTGTGTAATGGCGTGAACTGGTACTGGATATCCCAACTCACACTAAGTGCTTTGCCTTTGTGCCCCCCACCTCTCTCTCTCTGTCCATCCTGCTTCATGTAAATCCCAACAGCAAGCACACAAGTACGACGCCGCTCTTCTGGCTCCACGTCAAGTGTTGATGGTCAGTCTACAGCCCACTGCCACTCACGCCAAAGCAGTACCGTGCAACGCACACCGTCTACTGCTGCATATTTTTGAGAACACCGGTGCCTGGTGGCAGCTGCACTCTTCTTGTCCGCCATTTCTCGCTCATTTCGCTTGCCTTGCACTGACTGTATGTGTCCCTCGACACACATGCGCTATGTTCCCACGTGGTTTGTGCATTCATGCGTGTGCTGGCAGTTGAGTTTTCCAAGACAGGTAGCCAGAAGCGTGACGGCATGCGCAGCGTGATTATCCGTCGCATTGTGTCGCTGAACCCGGGCCGGTCGCAGAAGTCTGTAGCCGATGTCGCCTGCAAGGTTGAGGAGGCCATCTTCAACAAGTTCCGCAACGACGGCGACCCGTACAAGAAGGAGTGCAGGTGGGTGTGTGTATTGTCTGTGTGTGCATGTAGTGTGTGTATTGTTTGTGTGCATGTGTGCGTATTGTGTATGTGAGTGTGTATGTACTGTGCATGTATTGTGTGTATATGCACGTGAGGCGAACCTTCCAACACCGTCGAGTTGACAGTTGAGTGTGGCTGCACTGCAGGAGCCGCGCCAACTATCTGAAGAACGAGATCCTGGACAAGTTGATTGCCGGCGAGCTGACGCCAGAGCAGTTTGCAACACAGGCAGAGCAGGTGCATCCTCTTGTTGTTGTTGTTGTTGTTGTTGTTGTTGTTGTTTAACAAGTTGTTGTTGTTGTTTAAGTTGTTGTTGTTGTTGTTGTTGTTGTTGTTGTTGTTGTTTAAGTTGTTGTTGTTGTTGTTGTTGTTGCTGTTGTTGTTGTTGTTGTTGTTGTTGTTGTTGTTGTTGTTGTTGTTGTTGTTGTTGTTGTTGTTGTTGTTGTTGTTGGGAAGCAGTCACTGCTGCGCACAATGATTCACGCCCAGATATTCCTGTCGTTGTGTGTACTTGTGTGTGCATGTGTGTGACCAGAAATTGGTGTCTGAAGAGGACCGTAGAGAAACAGAGCAGCACCTGGAACAAGCACTCAGGGACAAGAACCCGGGACAGAAGATGGTGTGTGTGCATGGCAACTGCTGCGTTTTGGACCGTGCTCGACATGTGTGAACCACTTCTTTTTCGTTTTCTACCAGTACTACCAGCTAACACACACACACACACACATGCAAACGTGTGCGCGTGCGTGTTGTACAGGGCAACCGGACGAACCAGCTCAAGTGCGGCAAGTGCGGCAAGAACGATGTCGAGTACTATGAGGTGCGTCTCGGAGGAAGGCCGAAACACATATACACATGCACTTGCTCACACACACACATATACACTTGCTCACACACATGCACACACACACATGCACACACACACACACATGCACACGCTTGGTTCGTGTTGCAGGTGCAACTTCGGGCTGCGGATGAGCCCATGACGGTGATTGCCACGTGCATCAAGTGTGGTCACAGATGGAGACAATAAAACGCAACGCTCCCCGTTGAAAGCATGCGCAAGGACAGAGCACCAAACTTCCTTTCAATGTACACACACACACACACACACACACACACACACACACACACACACTCTCTCTCTCTCTCGAATGACCAACTGGGATTACACCGGGGTGTGATTTCTCGTCAGAGAAGTATAGCGATATCTGCGCCTAGGTTGCTACAGCAGCGTTGGAGTTAAGCCCCTTATCCGGTCTCTCTCTCTCTCTCTCTCTCTCTCTCTCTCTCTCTCTCTCTCTCTCTCTCTCTCCTCTCTCTCTCTCTCTCTTATGAACGCAGCGTTCGAGTTTTCGATCATGTGGTGTCGGGTGTTGTCTATTAGCGGCATTGACGGCCACACATACAGTACAGCATCAACACGAAGCAGTAATCGCATACAGCTAGAGCTTGAATAAAGAAACAGAATAAAGAAAGCTGCACACACACACACATACACACACACACACACACAGAGGCATGCGCACGAAAGAACAGGATTATGGACATCCACTAGAATCAAACCACACATCAACAGCAGCGTGCAACCAAACACATATCTGGGTCGGCTCAAAAAACGACGCGTGGGTATGAATGGGACCACCACGATGCCAGGAGTGAACCCACTGCTGGTTCACACGACGACCTCCGTGCCGCAGAATGACTTGGGCACGCAGCAGGAGCAGCAGCTGTCGGAGATGTCGTCCAGCCGACCAGTGACCATGTTGTAGTACCACATGTGCGGCTCCTGCATGAGGTTGTCTGCTTCGTCGTGCGTGGTTGCGACGGCGAGCCAGCTGATCTCCTCCCGCGAGCGGTTGATCTGGACAACGCCGGTCTGGGTGGTGGCGTAGAGGCCAAGCGGCTGGAACACCTCCTTGTTGAAGCCGTCCAGCCACTGCTTCACGGCGCGCTGGTAGCGGCGCTGACGCACGACGAGGATCGGGATGGGGAGGAGGAAGGCGATGCCGAAGATGCAGCTGCACATGCTGGTGCTCTTTGGCTGCACGTTTGTTTCCAGCTTGTCCATCCACAGCTGCCAGTCATCCTGTGTGACGCCGTGCCGGGCAAGCTCCTCTGGAACCTGCAGCATGTTGTCGGCCAAGGCGTTGCGGGTCGAGCACCAGCGCGTCTTGAAGAACGGGAAGATGAGGCGCTCTGGCGTGGACTGGGGCCGGCGCACAATGAGCCCGCCGCGCTTGGCCTGCGTCTCCTGCGTCTTCCGCGGTCCAGGCAACAGCGACGAATCGGTGTGGGCACCGAGCTCGACATCAGAGCGGCTTGTCATGCTCAGAGGGTTCGATGAGGTGGGCGTGGGCAGAGAGGAAGGGTCCAATGCGCTTGATGGTGCTTTGCAGGGAGAAGCAGCGGCAACGGTGTGGTTAAATGCATCATCATGCGTGCACTGCACTCCTTGCCATTGATGAGTCATCATCACCACTGACGACAGGCCACAGACAAAAGTGAAGCGCTGACGAGAGGGACGAGAAGAAGCGATGTCGTCGTGCAGTGCTGTTGTTGTGGCTGCTGCTGCTGTGCTGCTGTTGTGCTTGGCCAGCACAGCAGGTGCTGCCGCTGTTGTTGTGGATGCTGCAACCCATGTGAAGGCCGCTGCTTATCCCGACTGGGCTCATCACGTGCGATTCCAGCATGGCGTTGCTCTGTGTGTGGGTGTTTGTGTGGGTGTGTATGTGTGTGTGTGTGTGTGTGTGTGTGTGTGCTGCGCTTGTGTGTGTGTGTGTGTGTGTGGGTGGGTGGGTGGGTGTGGGTGTGTGTTGGTGTGTGTGTGTGGGTGGGTGTGTTCACGCAGGCAGCTCCCATTGTGTTACTGTGCTCATTTCATCACCACCCGGCTGGGCGTTGGTCAACGACAGCACTGGGTCTGGCTCGATCATGGTGGAAATGGCCAAGCAGACTGCCTCCAACTTGCAAAGGACTACATGGCACACAACATCACCGTTGGTCAGTGTGTATGTGTGTGTGCGTGCAAGTCTCTGCGTCTGTGTGTGTAAGCATCAAACTGTGCGTGTGGTGATGCGACAATAGCCGTCGCTGCTGCTGATGTCAAGACACGTGTATGTGGCCGCATGGGGGCTGTAGGTGCCGTGGACATTGACTCGACATGGGAGGTCGGCTTCAACAACTTTGAATTCAACACTGACAAGTCAGTGGTTCCACACGATCCCGTTTCCTCGCGTGTATTTGCGTATGCCTGTGTCTGTGTGTGTCTGTGTCTGTGTGTGCCTGTCCACTTGTATGTGTGTGTGTGTTGCTGTGGTTTAACCCGTACGTCATTGTGCCACTGCTGCTGCTGTCACCGCTGCTGCACGCGACCACCGTGGCGGTTGCTTCCACCTGCGGCTCATGCATCTGACGCCCATGACTTCTGCTGTGCTTGCTGGGCTGCAGGTTCCCCAATGCATCTGCGATGGTTGAGGAGTTCCACAAGATGGGCGTCCGCGTAATCTTCTGGATCACCAACATGATTGACACCGACTCTCCAAACTATCAGGATGGATACAACAAAGGATACTACGTCAGGTACGGACGGACCTGTGGTGTGTGTGTGTGTGTGTGTGTGTGTGTGTGTGTGTGTGTGTGTGTGTGTGTGTGTGTTTGTATGTGTGTGTGTTTGTATGTGTGTGTGACTGTGTGCGTGTGCGTGTCACAGTGAGTGTGTGGATGTGTGATTGTAGCAGTGCGCTCATGAGCGAGAGAGAGAGTGTGTGTGTGTGTATGTTCGTGCGTGGGCAGTGCGTGAACGTGGACTGTGTTGCTTGGTGTGAGGAGCTGCACACCACCATAAGCAGCTCAATTCCCACAACCACCACGCTTGAGTGCACAGGAACGTGCTTGGCAAGCAAGGCACGGTCAAGTGGTGGCACGGACACGGCAGCATGCTCGACTACACCAACCCAGAGGCGGTCGCCTGGTGGCACAAGCAGATGGACAACGTGCTAGACATTGGCATCGATGGCTGGAAGTGCGACGGCACAGACCCGTACATTCTCGAGTTTGTCACTCCCCACGGATACAACGGCTCCATTGCCTGGCAGTGCGTTTGGATGTCATGTGTGTGTGTGCTTGTTCTTGTGTTTGTGTGCTTGTTCTTGTGCGTGTGTGTGCTCTTGTGCGTGTGTGTGCTCTTGTGTGTGTGTGTGTGTGTGTGTGTGCTTGGTCTTGTATGTGTGTGCTTGTGTTTGTGTGTGCGTGTTGATCCTTGTATCTGCGTCATGATGTTGACATGACCTGACCATTCGGACGCGCGCCCGCGTGCATTCACTGTATTTACACGCGCACGCGCCACATGCGAGCAGTGAGTATTCGGACATGTACTACGGCGACTTCTTCGACTATACGCGCAAGTACGATCGCTTGCCTGCGTGCGCACACGTGCTCATGGCGTGAGCTCTACAACCTCACAGTACACGGCATACGTGTGCATACAGTGTGTCAATGTCCCTCACAGAATGGTCACACGCACCCTGTCTCTGTTCTTCACATCTGTCCCGATGTTGTGTTGTCAAATTGCGTTTCTCACATGTCACATTGCCGCATGCTGCCACGGTACCTGCGTGCGTGCGTGTGTGTGTGCGTGTGTGTGTGTGTGTGTGTGTGTGTGTGTGTGTGTGTGTGTGTGTGTGTGTGTGTGTGTGTGCGTGTGTGTGTGGGTGTGTGT